TCTACTTTTAATCCTCCTTATGCATATTGTGATGAAAACCACCCTTGGCGAGTTATGTGCACTAACTCAATCTTATGTTTTGAATGTGTGTGATATGTGTGGTGGTCAAGATGGTTACTTTTATGGTTGTGCTTATATTTCTTATCTTCCCCCAACCCCTTACTTTGATAGTTTTTCTTTTTCTTATGAAGTTAATAGGAACAAAAAACCCAGGTATGAGGACCTGAAAGAGATCGAGGATATGCTAAAGTGTCTTATGGAATAATATGATGAGATACAACTGCGGGTACAAAGGCAAGGGGCAACTATTCACAACTTGGAGGCTCAAGCGAATAAATTAATTGAACCTTGTAAAGCACAACAAGTTGACATTGTGGATAGTAGCCAATATGAGTATGAATTGGCTGCAGAAATTGCCATTATAATGGAGGATTTAAAAAAATACGAGGATGAGCTACAGGAGAAGGCCAGAGTAGAACACCAACAATCAATCGAACTAGATTTTGAGGATGCCGATCTCGTAGAAGAGATACTAGAGTCAACCAAGGATATTGAGGACACATATTTAGTTGACTCTATTGTCATTAGTGTTGAGAATGAAGACAGTCCAATGATCATGTAGTTGAGCGTATTGTCCACACTCTAAGTATTTTTCCACATTGTGTTTGGATGATGATCTGGAAATAGAATTGTCCGAGCCACTTGAGGATTCAAGGAGTAAGGAACAAGATGCCTACATTCTGGAATGCTTCTTGCCAGAAAGTCGGGAATACACATCTCATCTAAAGGCCAAGAAGTGCAGAATACTACATTGTTTTATGGGGCCAGTCAAATTCGTTCCACCACCCCAGGAGCATGATCGTAGAGCAGAATCAAAACTAGGGGTTCAATTCATGAGTTCAAAGTGGAGGCAAAAAGTGATTTGCGTCGTGCCGCGACATTAAATCAAGCGCTTGCTGGTAGGCAACCCAGCTTTATTGCTTTCTTTTATTTTTTTAATTATATTATTTTTGTGGTGTCGATTTTTGATTTTCTAGGAGCATAAGTTGCAAAGCTATTGGAAGGATGCAACAACAAACCAGATGGTTGGAACTAAGTGTGAGGTACCCGCACGAAGGACTAAGCCTGGGAGAAGTCTGAGTATCCCATGAGCTGCTAGTGCTTCGGCCTTTGGCCTACCAGGGAGTTTTTTTTACCCTCTTATTAGTTATGGTGTGCATTGGGGACAAAGCACAATTTTAAGTGTGGGGTGAGGAGATTGTCTGCGTGAATTTCTATGCTATTTTAGGTGTGTTAGTTTAATTGAATATTTTTTATTTTTTTAGAAAAACAAAAAAAAGATTGGACTTTTCTTGACAATGGATATCCTAGACAATTTTCTCGAGGGATTTAAGTCTAAAGAAAGAAGAGATTTTTTTTGTAGGTAGTGTAGTAATTTTTCCTTGGTTTTCCTTTGTGCCGCGATTCTTTTTCAAGGGTTTTATTTGAACTGGGTGTAGTTAGTTTTATCTTTTAGGAGTAGGAGCTAGTGTGAGATGAATTGAATTACAGTGATATCTCTTGACTTTGTCATGCCTTGAGAATAGTGAGTACTTTAGTTGTGACGCTTAGGCTCTGTTTTTGACTCTTGTAGAAGTACCTTAAATCGTAGATTCTTAAATTTGCTTAATTGTTTTAACTGGAGTGTTGTGATAATATGAGTTATGTGCCATATCTGTGTGAGGTTTGTATGTATTCAGTGCATTGTATTTGATGTCTAGAACTTGCCTCATGTGTTTGCAAAGCGAAATAGTAGCTTTGTTCAGTCTTGGAAGTGATATATGCATTTCTTTGTTGAGTCAGATATGTATATTTTACCCGCCTAATTGTTATATATCGTAGTTAACCCCTTTGAGCCTATAATCATGTTTCTTTGGCAACCACATTACAAGCCTTATCTAATTGTTTGAATTAACCATCTATTTGAACATTTTAACCTCTCATGAGCACTTGAATAGTTATGAACTTTGTAAAAGTTAAAGTGTGGGGTGATTAGTTTGGCTTTTGAGTGAACTAATGAAATAAGGAGAAAGGTGCACGGTTTTGAATAAGTAAGAGCCACCTGAATTAAAAAAGAAAAAGAAAAAGAAAGAAAAAATAGATGTATTGCTGTGAAAAATATTCTTTGATTGTGGTAACTCTTGATGTAATTGTACTTAAATAAATTGGGAGTTGATGTATATTGATGTGAAGGTGGAGTCATGGTTTGACATAAGCATGGGCTTGAATGTTAAAGTATATGTATTAAAGTACTTAGAGAGGTATTATCACTCTTATATCCAAATATATCATACCCATCCCGCAGCCTACATTACAACCAAATAAAGTCCTACTTGATCCTAGACTAAATGAGCTCAATTAGTAGAGTAGTACACTACAGGCAAGCCTATGGTGCATCTTTTGTGGCATATGAATGATGTTTCTGAGAGTGAGTGAATTCTTTCTATTTGAAGTTCCTAAGTGTTCTTAAATTTTTTTGTGTGGAACTACTCTCTTTGTTGTGTGAGGGCACTTGATTCATGAAGGAAAGGTAATGTCAGTGACCTCTATGTTAGAGTAAGTAAGTAAGTTGTGAATAATGCGTTGTACTTGTAAGTCAAATCTTGAGGTGAAGATGTTACACTTTTGTGCTTAGTCTATTTTAAATATTCTTGGTGTGATGAGTTAGGAGAATTGTTTAAAAAAAAAGGCCGTGTCTATATAAAGTGTAGTTTGATTGCTCGAGGGCGAGCAATGGTTTAAGCGTGGCGTGCTGATGATAGGCTATAATTGCGTATTTTAGTCATTTATTACACTCTAATTTGCTGCACTTTAATTGAACTTGAGCTTTAATCGCTAGTGTTTTGCACCAATTATGTGTTTTATGCCTTGAAGGAGTGATTCCGAGCTATGTACATGTTATGAAATGAATTCAAGTGATTTGGAGCTTTGAAGTCTAAGTAAAAGCCCAAGAAATCAAGTCGGGATCGTGTTCGGGGATCGACGAATGTATAGTTAAGAACGAAACGAAGAATCGAGTGAGCATACGGTGTATTGTCTAGTAAAATGCACATAACGTTTCTCACAGAACTCCGTTTGGGATCCACAATATATCGTTGGAAAGCTATTTAAAAGGGCTACAACTTTTATGTTTTGTATTTTCGCAAATTCCTACTACCGCGGCGCGTGGTGCGCCGCGCCTGTGGAAATTTCCTGAAGCCTGTCAAAATCATCAATCTGAGCTTTTCCACTGCCACCCCATGTGGCGCGTCGCCCCATGTGGCGCGATAGTGCAAATTTTACAGAGTGTCTTATTTCGCGCGGGAGAAGGTATTTCCATCTGGGCCCGACCCTACTTGGTATAAATATATATATATAAACGCTATTTTGAGAAAGTAGGACATACTTTTGACATAATTTAGACCTAAGGAGGCTAAGGAGACCGTGGATTCGACCTAAGGAGGAAAGAACACGCTAGGAGCAAGGCGGAGAATTCTTCTACGAGTTTTTCACTTCCTTCTTCCTATTTCCATTATTGGTTATGAATTCTAGTATTGTAATTATGCACACTATTATGAATAGCTAATTTATTATCTAGGGTTTTGATGGAACCTATTGGAGGATGATTTTTTCTGTTACGTTAATATAGATTTGCTGTAGCTTTTTCTTTATTTGTTCAACTATGTTATTATTGTGGTTGGTTGAAGAGCCCTCAATTAACTGTGCCTATTTAGTATGTATCACTTGGAAGAGAGTGCATATTTGGGTAGTTGTTGAACAACATCACTCCCGACGTATGTGAGGAATCAATAACCAAGGGTTTAAAGGTAGAATTAGGGATAACGAAATCTTGGGTGCGATCTAAGTGAGCTGTAATTAAAGCTAGCTAGCGTAACTCGAGAGAGTATGTCTAGTAAATTGTCGTAATTACTCGGGAGAGAATTACAACACGCAGAGCGCTCATGATCGGTAAAGAATACTTAGGCGAAATTATAGAAGACATAGCGGAAAAGATTCTAACTATTGGGGAAATCATAACTCTAGACCTCCTTAATCTTTTCTCCAACCTGTAGTATCTTTAGTGTTAATTTACTATTTTAATTTGTTAGTTAATTAGTTAAACACAAAAATCTAAATATCCATAAGTTAGAAATTGTTCAAACTTGTCTTCTTGGTGATAGTGAACAGTTGTAGCTAAACCTTAGTTCTTTGTGGGATTCGACTCCGGACGTGTAAACCGAATTATATGTGCAACGATCGTTTAGTCCTATTTATAAAGCATAGTTGGGCGTGATCAGTTATCTCAAAGTACCTCAATAGAGTTGTAGTAATGCCCTCTCCTATAGTTGCCCATGTCTTTAAAAAAAAAAAAAAGAGCATTGAGCCCATCACAACGAGGGGCCTTTATTTTTGTTGTTTGTTTGAATATTTTGACCTTGGTAATTCTTTTTAGAATGCATATGATAATTACTCCAATGATATACTAACTCATGTTACAAAATGATTATATGTTCTCCTACGTGTTTGCAATATATAGTTAATAATAATTTTATCTTTGTTTGTTCATATCTAAAATTTGGCCAATTTGGTGTAGAAAATGCTCCAAGCTAATTAAAGTCAACCCGATGAAGTAAAAAATAAATGCTAGAGTAATAAAATACGAGAATGGGAAAATTAATTCGTCATAGGAAAAGGTTACTTGGTGAACAAGTAACAAAAGAACCCCTAACAAGGAAAGAAGACTAAACCCTAACAAAGAAACAAGTATATAAATAAACCCATTAAACCACCAAACTATAAACGGAACAAATAATAAAAGGGAAAAAGAGCCACGAGAACAGGCAATAACTATATATATATATATATATACAAGTTTTATACACATACTAGGAAAGAAAAATAAGGATCGCTTGTATACAGCAGGGTTTTGGTTCTTCTTCTCAAAGCTGAGCGCCTCCGCCGCAGGAAGCGGTGCGTACGCCATGTCCCGAATTTCGCACCCGAAGCGAAAGATTGAAGACACCATTTGGGCAGCATCAAAAAGGTTGCAGAATTACCGGAGCCGCAGGAGAAGACGTAAATACAAGAAATCTGCGGGCGGCGCCAGTGAGAAAACTGAAACGGAATCAGTAAAAAATCAAATGTTTGATTCAGCTGATGCATCTGATATTTTTTTGGAGAATTTTGATGTTATGTGCGACAAAAAGGACGATGAAGATGAAGAAGATGTAGAATTACAACAAATTCTGTTCTTCTCAGCGCAGTTCCACTCAGGAAAAAACTTGAACTTGGGATTATGCTCAAAAGTGCAGGGTAAGCAAGTTATAAACACGCGCTATTCTGTTATTTACGGGTCAATTAGCACTGTGAATAGCATTCGCGAAAAGGGGGAATCGTCTTGCACTTATTGTGAAATTTGTGACGATGCGAAACCCCCTAATACGTTGATACGGGGCAGCAGTTGCAGGCACTATTATTGTGAAGAATGCATAAGAAATTATATAGGAGAAAAAATCGATGAAGATATAAAAGAACTGAAATGCCCTGTTTCTAGTTGCAAGAGAATTTTGGATATTGAGTCTTTAATGCCGAAAGATTTTCTCGATCGGGTAAAAGATGCGATCAGAGAAACGGAGGTTTTGGCTTCGCCACTGGTAATCGAATGCCCCTTTTTGGATTGTACAGGGGTTTTGATTGATGATAAAAAGAGGTTTTTGATCCGGGCGTGTCCTAAATGCTGGAGAATATTCTGTGTTATGTGTAGAGATTCATGGCATATGGGAATGTCATGTGTTGATTATAAGTTACAACTTAATAATATTGATAGGCAATTGTCCTTATTCTTGTGGGGATTGCGAGATGATGATGACGAAGAAGATGATACTGGAAAAGGCAATTCCTTGATCAAAATTTTCCTGTGAAAAAGGTCAAACTTTTTTTCTCGAAGACAATTTTAGTTAGTACTATGACATTATTTAGCAATTAGTATTCTGGATTCAGGCGAGTTTCAGCGGTTGATAATTTTTTACTTTATATGCAGAGTCTTTTGTTCGATTTTAATTAGTGGTTAAGTAGATGATAATGCTTTTGTCTTGAGTTGGTTTTGTGGAAAACGCTTCAATTGCAAGTGCCCATGTTTCTATAGTAGTAATAGTAGTAGGCCCAAGTATGAGTTGTTGACTTGGAAAAGAAATAGTTGGGCTGCTAATGCAGGCCTAAAGTCCATTGTCAATTTAGCCCTACATCTGAAACTCTGTATTTTGCTCAGCATAATATAGTTTCAGGTGTACGCATATATATTCACATGTATTCGCGCTGCTGTATTCATGAATACAACTACAATCAGGGTAGTATATATCATAAATACTTATTTTGCTATAAAATATAAAAGGTAGCTATATAAAATAATATTTTAAAATAATTTTAGTTTATAATAAATAAGGTGTATACCTTTGTTACAGGTAAAATTTCTAATTATATGACTTCTATTAAGCCTTCTTTTATTACTTGTTATTCTAGAGAATATTTTGTTCTGATTGGTTCTCCTCAATTTATGTTTTTAACAGCAGAAAATGGTTTAATTCGCTCTTGAATTAGATGTATGTTGGAAAAAAGTGCTTGAGCGAATAATTGTAGCTCTATTAGTTACAAGGGAGTGTATCAATTTCTTTTGCTGTCAATTTAGTTTAATATCTAATAGCAGGTTGTTTATCATTTTTATCAAGTTACCAATTATGATTTTTCATATAAATTTATCTATAATCACCTTAGGTTGTTATCGTTTTATAACGTATCTTATCGTATTGTATTTTATCGTTTGATAAATATAATGGTTGGATAGATTGTGTCGTTTGCCATCGTGTCATGATTTCATGCACCAGCAATATAAAGAATAAACTTACAATATTATAAAGAAAAATTATGTACAGGGTAAAATTAATATATAAAAAGATAGGGTAAATGATAAAATAAAATTATTTAATAATAATAAAGGGTGAGATTGAGAGAAAAGGACAAGGTAACGACGCGAGCACACGAAATCGGTCGTTACATAAAGTGGCACATTTCGTCGTTATATAACGATGAATTTAACGATACAATACAATAAAATTTACGTAATAATCAAAACAAATATTATATTTAAAGTAACAATGCGATACAGTACAATAAGTAACAACCATCCAAACAAGCTTTTATTGGAGAGTAATAAACTTGATTAGCTTTAATATGTAGAAGTGGAATTCCTTTAACTGACTTGCTACCAACCAGGTTATCAACCTTAATCATATCCACTTTGTTTGAACAAAAGATGCCGACAGTTGAAAGAACATTCTCCACGAAACCTGAAAGTTGAAAAATCTCAACTTTAGGTGTATCAATAAAAGAAAAGCACTTTAATTTTGAAATGCAGATGTGATCATACTTATTAGGAGTATATAAAAAGCAGAAGGATAAGAACATTCAAAATGAAAAAGTTACATTTGATTAAAATGACGTAAAATGAAAAAAAGTTGGAGTACTATTGATAATAGGTGAATTGGACTATAATTAGGCCCTAAAGAACCACCTTCTTGTATAGTTTTTATAGTAAAAAGTGATAACAAAATGCTCTGATTAGTGCTTTTCATGCTTTGCAAGCTATATACAATAAAAGAAAGTCTATGGAGTACTTTTGAGATCAATTACGGAGAAAAAGAGGTCAATCGTACAATATCCGCTAAGTGCACCACGCGAAGGCAGCAAAACCAGAACTGGAGATGGACCGTCGCGGTCTCGGCGTAACCGCGGTCGGACCGCGGCAGAAGGCTGTTGCGGATTCTGAGAGGATAGTTGGTCGCGGTCCTGCCGTAACCGCGGTAGGACCGCGATAGGAAGCGAAAAATTGAGGGACTGAAGTTCAAGACACGGGATTTTTAGCCCAAAACCCTATATTAAACAATAGAACTCGTCCAAGGGAGGATGTAATGTTTTAGAGAGTACCTTGGCAAGAAAAACAAGTGTGAGAGATCACCCAAAATATCATATTTTCTTCTTCTCTTTATTTTTCTGGCAATTTTGATCATGAATGTTTTCATAGTTTATTTACCCATTGTCATGAGTAGCTAAATCATTTGTCTAGGGTTTTGATGGAACCTATTGAAGGATGAACCTCTTGATTATGTTAATATAGTTTGCCAGTTTAATCTCTATTTGTTCAACTACGTGTTTGTTATAGTTAATTGACAGGATCCTCAATTAGTTGTGCCTAATTAGTGTGCATAACTCGAGAGAGAGTGCATATTTAGGTGATTGTTGAACAACACCACTCCCAAAGTATAAGAGGGATCTATAACTGCGGGTTTNGCAATTTTGATCATGAATATTTTCATAGTTTATTTACCCATTGTCATGAGTAGCTAAATCCTTTGTCTAGGGTTTTGATGGAACCTATTGAAGGATGAACTTCTTGATTATGTTAATATAGTTTGCAAGTTTAATCTCTATTTGTTCAACTACATGTTTGTTGTAGTTAATTGACAGGATCCTCAATTGGTTGTGCCTATTTAGTATGCATAACTCGGGAGAGAGTGCATATGTAGGTAATTGTGAACAATATCACTCCCAAAGTATAAGAGAGATCTATAACTGCGGGTTTAAAGGCGGGATTAGGGATAACGAAGTCTTGGGTGCAATCTAAAGTGAACTGTAATAAACAAAGCCAGCTACCGTATCTCGGGAGAGTGCGTCTAGTAAATTATCGTGATTACTCAGGAGAGATTCACGATAATTTGAGTGTTCATGGTTGATAGAGATGTGTTGGTAAATCTATATGAAGCATAAACGGAAGAGATTTCATCAATAGGGGAAATCACTACCTTAGAACCCTCTCATTATTGTTCACAACTTAAGCATATTTAGTTTACCACTGTTTATTGACTTTCAATCTTAGTTATTAAATATACCATCAACTGTTATTCACAACGTTTGGGGAAGTTGACTCTAAAGAATTTAGTAAGTCCAACGAAAGCAATTGATAGGTTAATTCTCTGTGGATTCGACAGTGGGCATAAATACTCAGGTTATATTTGCAACGTCCGCATTGTCCTTTTGTAAGGCATAGTTGGGCGTGATCAAGTTTTGGCGTCATTGCCGGGAAATTAACGGTGTTATCAGTTACAATTGAAATAAGTACAAAAATTCTTATTGTAGTCATTTTTTTCTCTATACCCAATTTTTACATTGAAATTTTAATGTTTGTTGACTTGGTTGCACAGGTGCATGCCTAGAAACTCATCGAGATCTGGTGAAGTATTTGAAGCATTATCAGATCCCGAGAAAGTTTTCAAGACCTTGAATCGGGCTAATCGGAAAAACAACCAACAATTGCACAATTCGAAACAGTCATGGGGATCACGAGGAAAACCCAGCAGTACCAATAGTGCAAGAGGCTGCTCTCTATGACTGGGCACAACTCACAGCTGAAAATCTGTCCACAGCCATTGTAGTTCCGTAGATACAGGCTGAGTCATTCCAAATTATGAATAACATGTTGCACTTGTTGCAGAACAAGGGACTATTTTCGGGGTCGCAAGTCGAAGATCCTCAGCAGCACTTGAAGAACTTCCTCTCTATCTGCAAAACCCAAAGGCAGCCCAACGTAACTCCTGAAGCAATCAAGTTGTTATTGTTTCCATTCTTAGTGACAGGAGCTGCCCAGACTTGGCTAAACTCACTTCCCATAAATTCTATAACAACTTGGGATGAGTTAGTTAGGAAATTCCATAACAAGTTCCACCCACCCAATAAGATTGTTCAACAAATTGATGAAATTTTGAGTTTTAAACGGAGACCAATGGAGACACTGCATGAAACATGGGAGCGCTTTAAAGGGATGCTGGTTATATGTCCGCACTATGGTATTCCAGATCTGATGTTGGGGCAGCGGTTTTACATGGGATTGTTAGATAGCGTGAAGAACATTGTTGATGCTTCAGCTGGTGGAGCATTTTTGAGCAAAACATAGAGAGAAGGCCAGAGTCTGCTTGACAAGATAGCACAAAATTCGGGATGGACAACCAGGAATGCACCTATCACTCCAGTGGTTCACTCAGTGCCCTTAGATCCATCCAACTCTATGGCTGAAAATATGGCCACCTTATTGACACAGATGAGTATACTCACCAAAAAGGTGGAAGAGTCAGGGCAGAAGCAGCAGGTACACATCGTAGATACTACCAATGGGGGCTTGTGCGCATCTTGCATTAGTCAGCCAATCGGTAACCAATGGAATGCAGAACATGATCATCACCACTACCCTGAAGACATGAATTATGTGTCTAATTATGGAGGCCAGAGACAGGGTGGTCAGAATTGGGGCCAGCAAAATCAGCAATACAGGCCAGTCCATCCACAGTTCAACAATGGAAACATGGGAGGTATGAGACCCCCTAACAATATGGAACCTTACCCAAGGCCACAGGGATATAATAATCAGAATCAGCAGCAGGGGTATTACCCTCCTCAGCAGCAGTATGGTGGAAGGCAGGAAAATGGGTTTGCTAGACTTGAGGCAATGATGCAGCAGGTTATTGGGTCTAATGCAAAGATTAATGAGAGAGTGGATGCACATGATGCAGCAATCAAGAATATTGAAGTGCAGGTGGGCCAAATTTCTATGTCTCTGAACAATTGTCCTCATGGGACACTACCTGCAGACACCCAGATAAATCCAAATCATCAAGGCCCAAAGCAGCTGATGGCGGTAAGTCTACGTAATGGCAGAGATCTGGATGTAGAGCAAGAGAGGGCTCGAGAAACTA